TCTTTGAGTACTGTGAATGTTTCCAGAGTTGTTACATTAATCACATCATCATAGTCACCAAGAGCATAGCCTATAAACAAAACATTTATGCTAAGATAAGTAAATTGTCACACATAAATAATTTATTTTTACCTAAATTTAAATGATCTATGGCAATTGATACATAATTAGTGTTCTTGAGTATTTGTTGTAATTCTTCTGGTTCTGTTATTGATGGATTTGTCTTTATATTTGGATATTGTAACTAAAATATATAACAATATAATAAAGGAATTTAACATATATTTTACAAGCTGTCACTAACTATGTCTATGTTAGCGAAATATCCCATATGGACCAACATAAACAGCAAATCACTATTTTCTAGTTCTCTTCCTGTTGATACATAAGGAGCGTATCTAGAAATAATATGAAATATTTTATTCATCAAGTACTCGTATTTACATTATCAATACGTACGATCTTTTGGTCATAATGCTTGAATATCCACTGGTATAAAAAATGACTAACAATACCATTCCAAAATTAATTACTACACAACCAATTAATTTTATTGGTAAGTTTATCGGTTGTTGTTATAACCCGGCTAGAACTACTAAGCTCAACTCAAAAGTGATACTTTGTGCACGATTTCTGAAAATTGATCATAAATATCTGTATGATATGTATTTTAAACTCTACTTATTAGTTCTATTTTCAGTTGTATCATATAATATTTTCAAAGCGACTACAAGTTCGCTGAGAACACCCAACATCACTAACCAAACTGCGTAATGCAATGGTTTTTGTAACAGTGATAAACCATTTGCTGGTTGTGGAAATGGAACCAAGAACGTCAACCCCGTTCGAAGAGTATAAGTTGAAAAATGCATTAAATTGTTTAATCCTGATAAATAAAATCCACCTAAAATAAATTAAAATATTGTATTTTTATACGTTTTCTAGCGTTTTTTTTTATATAATTTTACCTATTAAAATATCAGCCTTTCCTGTATAAACATCATTCTGTGCTCCAGTAACTGTTAAATTTTCATATATCTGGCCCCACCGTACTGTAGACAATACTAGTTTTAATGTGTAGTTAAATTTTTCTACAAATGTCTTCATCATTGATAATTCACCACCTCGGCCCTTTTCTAAAATTAATTTAGTTTTTAAAAAATATTTTCAAATATATATATATATATATATATAAATACAGAACTAACTGATTCATTTCGCAGCCAAAATGAAGTGGTGACTGTAGGTAGTATTTGGTCATTAAGTTGATATGTGACACGAGTCAAAACAACCCTGAAATATGCTGGCAACATGTAACAATAGCACAGATATTGTAATATCATTATAACACAAAATAAATTATTAATTTATACACCAAATTGATTCATTTCATAAATGATTGCATGCTCTATAATAAACAACTGCATATTATTTCTGAAACGAAACAACGTTCTAAAGACCAAACGCTGTGCGCCCCTCGCGCCCTTATATTGATGCAGTCAAAATAGACTTCACTACGGTATCATGACCGTAAATTTGCGCGCTTGATACTTAATATGCTATTATTATAGTACAGTTTAGCTAGTGATAGTATTGTATCGTCAATAATCAAATAACAAATGCACGCAAATGACTATACTATAGGCAACTTGTATAACATTTTATTTAGTACACGTAATGTAGCGTGTTTTATTTTTTTTGTTTCTTGTTTTTCACTGATTGACACTCATATGGCATCCTTGAATTCCAAATGAAGTCATTTCAAAATAATTGTTATATTGTTGAATATTTGTCAAAAAGTGTATGAAATCTGTTCCTATTCTTGAAACCAACGAGTACAAAGGTTGTCGACCACTAGTTTGCATCTTACAGGCAGTTTGGATATGACCATTGATTTGGTTTTTGGTTCCCGGACATTTGCCAAATCAATGGTCATATCCAAACTGCCGGTAAGTTGCAAACTAGTGGTCGACAAGTTCCCGGACATTTGCCCATAAGACGAACGCTCACACGACAACTGCTCACAAGACAACTGCCCGTTATGACTGTAACTGTACACGGACAATTGCTCACCGGGCTTTTGCTCACAGGGAATACTCCCCACAGTGACTTTTGCTCACACGGACAATTGCGCACATTGACAATTGCTCACTATTTAATTTTTTTGAATTTTTTTTAAGCAATGAATAATAGTTATGAAATAATTTATATACAAATATATAACAAATAAGAGGCCTCGCTAGCACGCTAATAGTGTCTGATTTTTCAAATAAACTATTTGTTCATTTTATCTTAATTAATTAGCAATACATATAACTATAGAAGTTTCACTTCTAGTATACTCACACATAATTTTTAATATTTGCGTAATTAAATAACTAATATATGAATAATTAAAACTTTGCCAATCTCCTTAAATATTGCATTATTATTCATTGTTTTTTAATAAATATAAAAAAAAAAATTAAATTGTGAGCAATTGTCTATGTTGCTCAATTGTCTGTGTGAGCAAAAGTCACTATGGGCAATTGTCAATGTGAGCAAAAGTCACTGTGGGGAGTATTCCCATTAACAAATGAAAAAATGTGACCAAGCATAAGCAAGTGAGAAAACTATATGTTTCTATATTTATATTATACATGTATTATAATAGTGTGACTTGGCTTGGCCGTCCGTATATAGAGTACCACGTTGTGGGTAAATCTGAAAATATAGCTAATGTGATTTTTATTACCAGATAAGGGTGATACCAATGAACGGAGAAAATTTAAACAGTGACTTGTGTTAATAAAGTGACTAATACTTATTTTACTATTATTTTTACGATGCATTTAATACAATACACATATGTTATTATATTATTCTTTTAGTATCTATATTGGATATTAGGTATATAGGCACAGGTTTAAATTTTTTCCATTAGTATGGTGTGGTGCATTTGGCAGTGTATTTTTAACTTATTTTTAAACGCCACACCAATATCAACGTATCAATGTATCAATTTCTTTTGGACGTGTTGATACCATCATTATTTCTGTCTAATTCATGTGTGTTATATATCTCTACTGATACTCCAAATAGAATAACATCATATCCTGTGTATCTGATTTCTCATGTGGATAAAATAAATCTAGAAGTATTACATTGTGAAAATGTTACAGTACAGGTGGAAAATTCCACGCAAGTCGTGAATTATTTGGAAGAATATTTCCAGAAAAATACATCTGGATTTTATAACAACAGAAAATATTTAATATTAATGAATACAAATGAATCATTGGCTTTACCCTCGTCGATTTTGAATGATATTTATAACATGTTATTTGTAAAACCAACTGAGCATACTTTTGAAATATACCGCCATAATTATAAAAACACACGCAGAAATAACACACTCAGTTTGGTAAATGTTTGGTATAAAAATAATAATACTCTAAAATTTGAGGAAAACGATTATATTTCGATTGGATTCCCTAAGCAACTGGGACGTGAACTTGTCATTGGTTCTAAAAATCCTAATTCTTTGGTTACCACAGGTATTTATTTAGTAATGTTTTATTATAATATTACCGTTCGCGTCAAAGTCATTCAATGATAAAAACATTAATAGTATATTAACTAGAGACCGACCAAAATTTCGGTTTCGGTTTCGGCCAGTTTCGGCCAAGAAATCGAGTTTCGGCTTCAGTTTCGGTTTCGGCCAAAAAATGGCCGAAATTTTCGACCACACCGAAACTCACTTTTCGTGAATTGTCGTGCGTCGCTCGGCTAACCTCGCGGCTAATGGCGGTCGTTACTTGCCATCTTAGTTCGCTCATATTAATACTATATTAAGTAGCCAGTGACTAAACGAGGACTTTACTCCCGAAATGGATTATGTATCTAAAAAAACGTGGAAAAACTGGCGATGTGTAGGTAAAAGTAGAAAAATATGTTTATGCAAATAAATTAGTTTCGGTTTCGGCCGAAACTGATTGCAGGGCTGAAATTTCGGTTTCGGTTTCGGCTAAAATTCAGTTTTGGTCGGACTCTAATATTAACCCGTCAGCACTCTTGTTATGAGCATTTTGCTCACGCTCAATTTGAAACGGTGATAATTTTTTTTTTTCAGGTGGAAAGGGTAGATGAAATTTTTTCTACCTTCAAGTAAGTTCATCTACTTTAGTATTATGAACATTTTAAATTTTTTATACATAATATAATTATACATAATTAATAAAAAAAAATATTTTCCTCTTGCGCTCCAGAAATCGTGAGCATTTATCTCACGAAGTATAGATATAAGGAGTCCGAACGTCATGTTAAATTAATGGTCACGATCTAGGGGACCAAATATTCGCCAATAGAGCGCGCCACTATGCGTTAGTGTACTCGTTTAAATACTTGCATTACTATGGACACCGCCAATATTTCACAAGATACATGAAATTATGACATATTTTTAAATCTTTGGGCTATTAGTTATAAATTAAATGTTTATAACACATATTACTCACCTTTGGTGTTTTGAATAAAACTAAAAATTGTAGTGGAATATGCAAAATTATATAATTTCACTATAATAATACGCAAAAATAAAACACTTGGCAGTGGAGGCATAAGAAAAAATAGAAAAGCGACTGCAGGCTCACTCGTACATTTTTGTAATGAAAGATGAGATGGATATTGTCATTGGTAATATATACCACAGAATGTTTCCTAATCCCTCCAAAATCCAACTGAATTCATATATTTCAGCATATTATGCCTTATCTTCCGCAACTATCCAATATTTTGATAGCAGTCCTGTAACTCAATTTAAAGGAAGATTTATGGTACCGAAACCTCAAGAATATTTCGATCTGCTATATGCCCTCAATATTAAAAATGTCTACTATTGGTTACTTATATTTTCTATTTATTTTATTTTAGGTTTATTGATTTATTTCAGGCAGTATCTGTTAGTTTCATCATATCGGTAAATTAATATATTCTTATTCATAGTAATATTGCAGTTTAGACTGTACTCTCGCTTTGATGTCTTAAATCTATATGGTATTGCTTTTAATCAAAGTATGAACAGCCATCATATCCCTGTGGATAATTTTACATGTGTGATATATGCATTTATTTTGTTATTTGGGATTATATTTACGACCATTTACAACTCGGCTGCGTCGAGCAATTTGTCAGCTCCAAGGTATCAAACATTGGCATTATTGCAGCTCAATTAACACTAATTCTTAAATGATTCTAGATTTATCGGAGAAATAAAAACAATTGGTGATATAATTAAAGCCGATTTGCCCTGGTCAACATCTATAAATACTTATCCACACATTCTTAGGGATAGCCAATTACAACTGATAATATATTTTTACTATTTTTTTATATTCACTATAAAGTATTGGTTTATATTTAATTAAATATTTTAGCAATTGCAGCTGAAGAAACTATATATAAAGCGTTCACGTAAATTAATGCAAGATATAATGGACAGTGGAGCACCTTATGGATTTGTATTCACTCAGTTTCAATCTGGTATATATGTCGTATTATATATATAAATTATGATACTTGAATAACATTTATTCTTTATTTGGTGTTCTAGGATATACTAGTTTGGGTGTCGTTCATAACTTTGATGGGGAGCATTTTCAATTAATAGAGCAGGAATTTACAACAGAAAATACCTACATGTTATTACGAAAAAAACTCTGTACTTAAGGAATCTATGGATATCATGATTAGGCGATGTTCTGAAGCTGGATTAATTGTAAAATGGGAAGAACAGGTAAACAATACTTGCTACTCATTACAAAAATTAATACAACACCATTAATACGAATCTTTTATAGGCCTTTTTAAACTCAAATTCATTACTGCAACAGTACCAAATACTTGACAAAAAGGTAATTAACGTATGGAAACCTGCAAGTTTTTATTGTCTATTGTTGTTTTTTTCATAGAAATAATAAAAAAATATTTAAAAATCAAATTAACCGCATTTTAAATTTGTAAGTTTATCACAGACCAAATATGGAAGAATAAGGGATTTGTGTATTGTTGCTTTGTGGAATTGTAATTTTTGCTTGTATTTTGCTCAAGCAATTTAATGTATGACAGTAGATAATTTAGTGAAAAATAATAAAGGTATTAAAACGTATTAATTGCTACTTGTCATTGATAACACCTCAACTACTAGTCTCCCTTAACGGATGAGTAGCGGGATTAAAAACGCAATATCAATTATGCATTTTTCCATTTTATGCGAAACCGTGGATAAATTGACCACTTAAAATTGATAGTATTAGATGTTGGCAAAAGGACGTGGCCCATGAGGGGATCGAACCCGCGACCTTCGCGTTATTAGCACGACGCTCTAACCAACTGAGCTAATGGGCCAATAGTTTACCTAGTTGGGCACCAAGGATCGCAGTAGAATATAAATAAAAATGCGTATCTTTGCCGGTCGCGCCACCATCTTAGACAAATGGTGTCAAAAACAGTTTTTTGACCATATCTCCTTTCCAACTCATTTTACGATAAATATATCTATATAATAAATTAAACTAGAGAAAATTTCTTATAATTTATGTAAGTACCTTTTTCTTGTAAAATTAATAGTTTTAGCGTACGGGCGCCGCAAAGACTACTTCAACATTAATTTTTGCCAAAAACTCATTTCCACACCACCATGAGGTAGAGTACGTGGCGCGTTTGTTTTTTTATCGTGGTATTCCCAGTAGGCCTAATCCACACGCACTATTCCAAAATGTAATGGATTATCTTCCGATTCGCTCTTCGCGATGGACCAGGTGTTGTGCGTTAATTGTTTTCAGGACCGATCGAAATATCACAGGTAAAATTTTCTGCCATACTATCCGCGATGGGATTATCGTTTTCAATGCTATCTTGGTTCTCGAGTTCATCGTACGTGTGCTCAAAAACGGTAATCGTAACAACTTATTATGGAGATGCATTTATGCATAAAATTATTGAATTTTAGTTTAAAAAATGTGAAATTTAGTTTAACGCCATATAGATTTAAAATATAATATGAGTTAATCTATGTCTTAGCTTTTACCACAATTTTCACCTTTCCAGTCAAATTTTTGCAATAAAAAGTTGCCTACCACTTTTTCCTTGCTTTAAATTGTCTTGATTCAAATAATAAAAAATAATAATAATAATAAAAAATGATGAAAATTCATTTCCTCTTCATCGCTATCTTGTGATGGAACTTGCGAATTATCACAGGTACCACTGCAATTTGTACAGATAACGGAGCACTTCAATCCAGCCTTTCTGCAGCCGCAGGCTTTCAGACATCCCTTTTTGCATTTGCAAGATACTAGTTTTAACAATGTTTCGGGAGCTGGGGGCTCAAGTGTGGTGACAGGAATTAGCCCATTCTTGCTAACTTGGTGATAAGTTCTGAACGAATGTTGTCGGGCTGCGGCTTCTGTTGGTGGTAGCGATGCAATATTAAATTTATTTTTGTATGCTGATTTTGTGAAGCTGGCATATCTATAGATGTTTGAAGACATATTTTGCATAGTTTTCACATCACTGTAACTGTATAATTTAAGAAGGAAGAATTCGCCAGCTGTAGCAATGATCTCTGTACCAGCCTTTGGGTTTTTAAATACCTGGATAACTTCGTTTAAATCTGGATTTTTGCAGAGTACATTAATACATTTTAATTTTTCTTGATGAAAGAGTGCAGATGTTGTAGCACAGCCACTAAAAGCGTGTAAGAATAATATGTGATCTGCCGCGGTTTGATCGATCATGCTTTTGGTTGAATAGATTTATTGCAAAATTTTTTCTTTTTCTGGTTTTAGCAAATATATGTTTGAACACATTGATAGCGCCGTTAAAAGAATAAGAAGATCTACATCTTCGCCGATAACATGCACGAATTGTGATACTGTGCATTGGCTGCGACCAAATCATAAACACGCTCGAGTCATTCAACAATCGCTCTACCCCAATCATCATTACGTGCTCTAGGACGTTCTGAAATAGTGTTTTTCATCGATAATTTATGTACGCTATACACAATATTTCGATCACTCAAATGCGTCCGTTTTTATTTCGCTATAAATTCTGCTGTTATTTCAGCAGCGTACAAAAAACAATTATCTTTAAATGAGAATGTTGGGCACGTGGATCGCAGTTGTGGTTGAAAAGTCGTGACAACACTTCCTTTTTTAAACGCAATGATTAGTTTCTCATTATTATATCGTTTCCTACATATCTCGTGAACAACGAATGTTGAAGTAGACTTTGTGGCGCCCGTACGCCAAAACTATTAATTTTACAAGAAAAAGATACTTACATAAATTATAGGAAATTTTCTCTAGTTTAATTTATTATATAGATATGTTTATCGTAAAATGAGTCGGAAAGGAGATATGGTCAAAAAACTGTTTTTTGACACCATTTTTCCATGATGGTGGCGCGAGCGAACAAGATACGAGGAGGCAAAGTTCAAATTCGTAAAGAGCACCTCGAAATCTATATGAATACCAATTTTCAACAATCCCGCACTATTTTCCCAGCAACCACGTTTTTTAGTACCAAATGACTGTACTAATGGTTGTTCACCCTTAATTTTTTTAAATTTTGGTCGAAATTTTTGTTTTTATTTTTTAATGTGGCATTAAAATATACATACAACCCTAAATTTTTGGTTTCTTATCACCAACCCCTATTTTTTATAATAAGTAAGTTACTTTTGTCTACACTAAAATTAACTAGAAACTTGAAATAATTTATATGGCAAAACAACGTTTGCCCGGTTAACTAGTATATATATAAAATTTGCGTGTCACAGTGTTTGTTTCCATACTCCTCCGAAACGGCTTTACCGATTTTTACCAAATTTTATATGCGTATTCAGTAGTTCTGAGAATCGGCCAACATCTATTTTTCATACCCCTAAGTGATAAGGGTTGTTCACCCTTAACTTTTTTTTAAATTTTTGGACAAATTCTTTTGTTTTTATTTTTTTTATAATGTGGAATTAAAAAATACATACAACCCTAAATTTTTAGGCTAAGTAAAGTTAAGTAAACACTTACTGTACGCTATACCCTCACAATATCGCCAAAACGATATTTTTACTAAACCATTGCAAGTCAATGCAAGTATTTGTCAAGCCTGATGTGGATAGCTATTTCGACCATTATGGTATATAAGCCATGGTATATAAGCCATGGCAGGTCAATGCAGTATTTGTCAAGCCAGTAGGTGTGCTGATGAGACCTCTAATGGTCGAAATATCTATCCACATCAGGCTTGACAAATACTTGCATTGACTTGCAATGGTTTAGTAAAAATATCGTTTTATGATATTGTGAGGGTATAGCGAACAGTAAGTGTTTACTTAACTTTACTTAGCTTATACTCACCCTCTCGTACTACCATTGTATTTCAACCTAAATTTTTAGTTTTTATCACCAACCCCTATTTCTTTATAGCCATTTTAGTAATTTAATCATTTTTCATCCCGCTCAAAGAAAACTTTTATATGCGTATTCAGTAGGTCTGAGAATCGGTAACTTCATATCTCTAAGTGATAAGGGTTGTTCACCCTTATTTTTTTTTTTAATTTTGGTCGAAATTTTTTGTTTTAATTTTTTTAATGTGGCATTAAAATATACATACAACCCTAAATTTTTGGTTTCTTATCACCAACCCCTATTTTTTATAATAAGTAAGTTACTTTTTGTCTACACTAAAATTTATCTAGAAACTAGAAATAATTTATATGGCAAAACAACGTTTGCCCGGTTAACTAGTAGGTATATAAAACACAGGAGAAAATTGTTGCCATTAGTTTCATGCGGTGCAGTTGCTAGTGATTATACAACTTTTTCAAACGCAACACAAACGATTATTTAAGCATAAATTGTGTGTAAATTGTTTCACAAATACGTAAGAGCCTTAAAAATGTATCAGCATTTCCTGGATGTATTGCTACCATCATTATTTCTGCGTAACTCATGTGTGATAATAATATATCGCCACTGAAACCCCAAATAGAATAAAATTATATCCTGTGTATCTGATTTCTCAAGTGGATAAAATAAATCTACAAGTATTAATTACATTGTGAAAATATCATTGCACAGGTGGAAAACTCCACACAAGTCGTCAATTATTTGGAGGAATACTTGCAAAAAAATACATCTGATGGTTATATCAATAGAAAATATTTAATATTAATGAACACAAATGAATCATTAGCATTTCCCTCGTCGATTTTCAATAATGTTTATAATATGTTATTTATGAAACCAACTGAGCATACTTTTGAAATATACAACCACAATTATAAAAACACACGCAGAAATAACACACTCAGCTTGGTTAATGTTCGGTATAAAAGTAATAATACTCTAAAATTTGAGACACAAGATTATATTTCGACTGGATTCTCTAAGCAACTAGGACGTGAACTTGTCATTGGTTCTAAAAATCAAAGTACTTTGGTTAACATAGGTATTTATTTAATAATGTTTTATTATAATATTACAGTTCGCGTCAAAGCTTTTCAGTAAATAGTATATTAAGTAATAAGAGTCCAAACGAGGGCTTTAACAACGTTTTGCCACAAGGTGCTTACTCTATTTTTTCTACTTCCACTCTAGTTCCACGTTGCGGTTTTGGTTTTTCAACTTTTGTATTTGAAATCATCGCACACATATTTGTCCGGCTCGTAAATGTCGTACTTGACAAACCGTAAGGTTATAAATGCCGTGCCGCGCGCCGGTCCATGTGACGCTTCGGTTCATATCGTGCTCCTCCGATACCAGCAGCATCAGCGCCTGCTTTGATGTATTTGACTGACGTCGCATGGCATTTCATACCGCCTTGCGCTGTTTCGTAGGCAAATGCGCAGGCGCTTGCTTCGCCTCGTGCATAATGCAAGTTCATAATGAATATTATGTACGGCTTGGCCGTCCGTATATAGATTACCAC